TTGAAAATACTTATTGTGTTTGTCCTGTCCCCACTGTGGCCAGTTGTGTGTCTGCTATTTCTGGCCTATCCTCGCCTCCGCTCCCTCCAACACCTCCAGCTCCCCACTGGAACGCGTGGGAACCAGATGGGCAAGCAGGAGGACCTCTGTTGAAATGTACCCACTCTCAGATGAGGAAACTGAGGGCCATAGAGAGCCAGGAACTGATCTGGGTGGAACTAGATTTTTTTCTTTTTCTGCCTTGCTCCAATCTGTTACAGGGTCTTCTAGCACAGGGACCTTCACTCTTCCTCGCTAATTTTCTGATGGTCTGTCTGTCTGCTTAGAGGGGGTGGCATAGTCCTTGAATCTGCATATCAGGCAGACTCCAGACACATTGAAGGAAAGGGGGATTCCAGGTCAGGCTCTTGGGAGACTAAGACAAAAGGATGCAGCAACTTCCTAATCCTGTCCTCCTCCAACCCACCCACCCCTGCTTCACTGACCCTATTTGTTAAGAAGGTAGCTTTGCCATGGTAACCCTGAAGAGACAGAGCAGTTCCCTCCATGGGAGAAGGCAGACTCCATGAACAGTAACATTAACGATAGTAAACATTACAGATACTATTATCGACTCTACCAGGCGCGTTCTTTGCATGGAAGTATTATTTCCTGCTGATAATTTCATTCTCATTTTATAACTGACAAAAACGAGATCTGAAAGACTTATTGGCTTTGCCGGGACAGGGTAGGAGATAGAAGGTGGGATGAGCTGAAGCCAGGAGCTCTGGTTGCCACGTGAGGGCTTGTGGAGTGGCTAGCCTGTAGGTGGGGAGCGAGGCACTGCTGAAAGGTGCGTGGTGTGGGCACGGCGGGCCGGTCATGGCTCTGTAACCTTGGGCAAGTTACGGACCTCTTTGAGTGGTTGGATGCTCCCTAATATCACCTCTCACTCTTTTATTATAGGGCTCTGTGGTTTGGGAAGTGGCAGGCCACCTCTGGGAAGGATATGAAAGGCACAGTTTCCCTCTGGGGCCACCTGCTTGAATTCAGTCCCAGGGTCACCATGCTGCGTGGTGAGCCACAGCAGGCTGTGCCCAGCAGGGGTCGGGCTAGGAGCCAGAAAGCAACGACACAGGCTTCCTGTCAGGGCTCCACCGGCAGATCAGTCACCTGGTCTCTTGTTGCCTTAGAGCCAGAAAGATTCCCAGGCCTGCCTTGGGAGAACCAGCACCTGTGAGCCTGACACAGCCTCTGGAGCACCCAGGTGCCAGGTACAGATCTGTCTCTTGGGCCGTTAGGCGATGGGAGAACAGCAAGCTGTAACAAGAAGCTCCCTTCTTCTGAGATGCTTGGCTAGGGTGGGCCAGCTTGGATGTCTTGGTGCTGTGTGACCCAAGGGTCTGGGCTGGGTTTGAGATGGAGAAAGAAACTGCTGGCAAGAGCCAGATAGGCCTGTGGAGTCTGCACAGGTGCTCTACTGTCAAGCTCTGAGGCCACGAGTGAGTGGCTGACTTAAAGCCTTCCATTGCTTAGCTGAAAAGTGGGGGTAATAAGGTCAGTGTTGAAGGACTGGCAGGACTTAACGAGAGAATACAAATGAAGTGTCCGGGTAGAGCCTGCCAGAGCGTAGATAATAAAGGAAGGCTGCCATTATATTGTGGCTACTGTGGCAATAAAAATAGCACCATGGAGCTCAGTGGTGGAGTGCCTGCCTGCCTAGCATGCAAGAGGTCCTGAGTTCCATCTCCAGCATTGCGAAACAAATAAATAGAACTAAACAAGTAATAACAGGTAAAGAGGCACCGGGGGTCTGGGAGTCAGATTTTGCACACCCCCCCCCGTGTGACTCCTATTCCCCCTTCTCTGTAGGAGGGGACCATGGCACCAGCTGATCCCCAGGCCCCTTTCCTGCTCTGGCTCTGACAGCTTTGGGCTATGAATAGAGGGGGCTGGGGCCTGGAGGAGTTTGATGACTCAACAGCTAGGGAGGGCGAGGTTTCCCAAGGAAAGAGTTTCCATTTGTGTCTGGTGAACTTGGGGAGCAGGGAAGGAAGGGTTCCCTAGCTGTGAGGCCAGGGATGAGGGGGTGGGAGTGGAGAATGTGACTAACCAGGTGAATGACTAAGTCGGACCCTGCTGACCTTCAACCAATCAGGGCTGCTCGTGAGCATCCTGCAAGTTGGCATCGCTGGGCACTTGGTAGTTCTGCCAGGCCTGGCTGGGCCTGGGCTTCATAGCATATGGAGGCAAAGGAAGCAGCCAAGAGCCCAGCGGGGACACAGCCCTGGGTATGGAGTTAGAAGCCCCAGCTTCCCATTCTGAGATTGCTGCCCAACAGCCTGGTGGCTCTGGGCAGGACGTACCTTCCCTTCCCTCACCTTTACCCACTGCTCTAACAAAGCTAAGAATCTCTGCCCTGGTCTTGTACACGCACTGATTTGTGAAGGCTGAAATCCAACCAAGTGATAACACCATTGTGGCCACTAGATGCTGGGTGAATGAGAGGCTCTTTCACTGACCCCAGTCTTTCCCAGTGGGATTGGCCACAAGATGGTCCCAAGGAGGCAGATGGGTCTGGAGGAGGCTAACAACATTCTCACATACAGCCCCTCCCAGGCACCCTATCACCACCCCAAGACAGCTTCTGGCTAGGTGGCAGAGCTGAAGCGAGAGGTGACAAGAAGCTAGGGATGGTTGAGTGGGGTAGGAAGTAGGACTTGCCAGTCTAAGATGGCATCTCCTTCTTGACCAGCACTGTATAAATACCAGCAGAAGGGTGCTCCGTGCCAGCTCCAGCTCTTAGCATCCATCTAGGTAAGAACCATGGACAAACTGGAAGGCAACAGCAGGGTTGGAGGGGAAGGGTAGTGCCTGTCCATTTGTGCACACATTAAACCCACCAATAGCATTCTCTACTGCTCATGGCTGTTGGGCACCATGCTAGCTCTCAGGAGCACAGAGATAGGATTTGCCTACATGGACATCAACACAGCAGCATGGTGAAAAAGACAAACCAAAACACACTCCTTAAGATGTAAATCAGTGTTTAAAAGCACCCAGTCTGGGTCACTTAGGTAATCCTGCCAGTAAATTCTACTAGTCTTCAAGAGCAGTGGTCCTGTGAAACTTGAGTTTGGGGTGGGTTTAAACTGGACCTAGAAGGCTAGCTTGGGCAGCAAAGGGAAGGCAGGAGAAAAGGTGTGTTGGGTATAAACAGGTGAAGTCTTCTCTAAGAGGTGATTTGGAGGCTCTAGAAGGAGGTCATCCAAGCAAGAAGTAAGGAGTAAAGTCGAACATGAAGGCAGAGCCAGGGCAAGGAGCATGGGGCACTGAGGAGCAACGTGGGCTTTGGTGACGGGGCCAGGGACAGCCGTGCTTTGGGAGTTTTGTTTTGTTTTCTGGAAGCATTGTCCGTGGGATGCTATCTGCTGTGGGGATGAGGCTGAAAGCAAGGAAGTCATCTGGGAGGTTACTGTGAAGCTGAAGAAATGGGGACTTAGAGGAAAGTTGCACTGATTGGGGAATTGGTGTGGGAAGGTAGACAGAGGTGTACACAGGACCCCCTTCTGATTTACAGATCCTAACCTGCTGTGAAAGCCAGGCAGGTGGCAGTGGGATGTGGCGGGAAGGGACCCAGACCAAACCTGCCCTTTGGGTAGGTAGTGTCTGGGCGTACTCCCTCCACGGATGGACAGCAGCAGAGCCTCAGAACAGAATTCTGCAGTGGCTAGAGAGTGTCCAGCTCTGTCTTTTATCCGCTTCCACTCCTGTTGACTCCCAGGAAAACACTGCCATCTTGTTACAGGTTTTGCCAAATGGCAATGAGTCCCTGGGAGTTCGGCCAAGGCAGGGGGTGGGGGTCAGGATGAGAAGGAGTGGGGAAGATGGAGGAAACAGCTCCTGGAGGCATCCCAATGGCTCGGGGGAAGGTAGGGTCCCAATCTCAGAGTCCAAGCACGTCAGGGCTGGGAAGAGCCCTTGACATCATTTTGGCCAACCTCTACATGTTTGGGACATGAGCCCAAGATCCAGGCAGGAGAGGGGACTTGCCCAAGGTCGGTCATGCAGAGGGTTAGTGATAGAGCTGGGCTGCAACCACAGGGTCCTAGGAGTGGTTAAGGTGTGTAAGCCTGGCTGGACACTTCAGCGACATGGTGAAGGGCCTGGCTGGAGATGCCTTTCCTGACAGCCATCTATTCGTGCCTCTCTCTCTCTCTCTCTCTCTCTCTCTCTCTCTCTCTCTCTGTGTGTGTGTGTGTGTGTGTGTGTGTACCTGTGTGCCATGTTCTCATAGGATCCGGGTGTGCGTGTGGCCTCCTATAGCATGATCTGCCCTGGCCTTGGAAAAGAAGTGGAGCCATTCCTGTGAGGTGACTGTTTTACTGGGACACCGGGGAAGAATGCTAACAGGACCGAATCTGAATTCCAGTCTCTCTGCTCTGCTGCCCTCAGAGAATTACAGGCCCTGTCTGGTGCGGCCCAAACTCACACACCCACACCCACACCCACACGGACACAGGCACCCCACCCCCCTCCCCAGCAGCACTCAGTCGCAGTTAGAGAGTGGCCCCGCGTGTCGCGGAGTGCAGCGTTCCCGCATCTCCATGCCTCCCCAACGCCCAGCAGGTGTGGACACCCGGGTGCCCAAGCCCAGCGGCAGGGACATGGAGGAGTGGCGCGCTCCTGGGATGCTCACTCTGGGTGCCCAGCCCCAAGGCCTAGCCCGGCCACACCCCTCCTCCCGAGCCTTGGCCGGCCGCTCCTGTCCCTCTCACACACTTGAGTCCCCTGGGGTCCTCGCACAGCCCTGCAAGGCCAAGTTAGGGTTGGTCGGGCTGGAGACAGGTCGGAGTCAGGGGTCCCCGCAGAGCAGACACTCCGGGCTGAGCCCCGGGTCGCTGAGAGCGCGCGGGTTCGGCGGCCCGCCCCGCTCCGCAGGGACCCCCCTCAGCCGCGGGCGGCTCCCCAGCATGCCGGGTCCCCGCCCCCGTCCCCTCCGGCGCGGCGAGTGTAGTTACCGATGGTGGTGATGACGGTGATGGCGAAGTAGAAGGAGCCGGCGAAGCGCCACTGCACGCCGGCCTTGTGCGGCTTGAGGCGCAGCACGACGCGCTCCAGCTCCTCGTAGCCGCCCTCGCTGAGGTTGTAGCGCGCCCGCAGCTCCAGCTGCCGCAGCTCCAGCCTCTGCCGCTCGATCATCTCCGGCTCCGACTCCAGCGCGTCGAACACCGCGGCGCCCACCAGCAGGTAGGTGAAGGTGCACACGATGAGAGCCAACGTGCGCACATTCTGCCGCTTCATCGTCCCTCCCGGGTCGTTGCCGGCCCTCCGGCGTCTCCGGCCCCGGCCCCGGCCCCGGCCCCGGCCCCGGCCGCCGCCGTTGCTCCTGCTCCGGAGGCGGCCTGGGGCATGGCTGCGCTCGCGGATCTCCACGCCGGGCACCAGCTCCGCACCCCGGGGCCACCGCCGCCGCCGTTGCCGGCCGCCGCGGAGCTGTCCCTTCAGCACCACCCACCGCC